GAAAGAAATTGTCAAAATTCAGTTAGTACATATTCTTTTTTCATATCATCATATGTATTTAGAATCAAACAATCGTGGCAATTGCTACTACTATATTTCAAAATCAATTAAATCGAGAACGTGATCAATTTCTCGACGTAATTAATTAATTAATTTCATCAGTATTCACTTATTTCCCTTTTAAATTCAATTATTTCTAATTTTTATTGCCAAATAAGTAGGTTTAGCATATTTTTTCTTAAAAGCTGTTAATATACAATTGCAGCAGTTAATTTTGAATTATTTTACTTCCAAACCTTCCTTTTTTAATTGATTTTTTTTTCTTTTTTTGATTAATTGTAAGACAAAATATTTTTTTCCTCAAATCTTTCTTGGCTCAAAATAATACTGTTAGAATGTTACATAAAATCATCATATTTTTCAGTGTTTAGTTTTATTGTTTACACATAAATTACAAGCAGCTGAAATAAGCTTTACGGCAGGCGGATTTTTCGTTGTCACACGACAATTGTTCCTGACGGTATTCTTTCACCGAGAATTTTCAACCTATTAATCAATTAATTGTCAAACTTTCTTAATGAACCGTCGTCAGTGATTAGATCAGCAATGGTATAACAAACAAATAGATTAAGTATAGTACCAAATAAATCAATTATTAAGTATAGTACGAATAGACCAAGTATAAATTTTTAGTAAGTACTGTTACAGTAAGCCTCTTTCAAGAACTTTATGCTCTAAACAAATAAGTGAGCTAGTCCCAAAAGAAGCATTACATTTGATTTTCTGGATGCTCAATTATCAATCTATTAGCTTCCTTCAAAATCAAATTTCTATTCTGCTTAATTTTTATTTTCAAACAAAGTTTACTTTCAGCTTATTTCATTGGTGCTAACATATGTTGCCATTATGTTACAATTCGAAGATATATCCAGTAGTTGTTCAGTTCAAAACACTGCAAAAATGAATATTTCAAGTTCATGAAGTGATAATATTATTTCTTATCATATCATTTAATGTTAAATTAATCGAGAAAATGTGACGAAAACTTTTCAAAGTACAACAAAGAAATGATTTAATGCATCAAATGTTAACTGATATAGTGTAACAATAAGACTGAAACCATAATTAATTAATCATGATTTAATAATATCAATTACATTTCGTGCTCGTCAAAGGATTGTAATAATGGAAAATAATTTTAACTATTTAAAACTCCTCCATGAATTTTTGATTTCTTATCTTTTTTTTTGAAATTTTCATTTGTATCATTTTGGAAATTTTTCAGACAAGAATTTCGTCCTGCATTATTATTAAAGGAAACAAAATTTAGGAAGGAAGGGTAAAAATTTCTCCTAATTCCAATTTATAGATTAGTTTTTATTCCGTTATTTAATTAAATTCATTTTTTATTCCCAATGAATGATATAGTGAATGTTGCAAATACCACAGCAAATACTTCAATTGCTTATTTTTATTTGATAAAATACAAATGACATTTCTTGAAAATAAATTTATATGCAAATTTCAGCAAAGTAATTAAATATTTCCATAATAAATAATTAATAAACTAAATGAGGAAATATTTTTTATAATTTAACGAATAGCAATAATCAATGATTATTTTCATTTAAGATAAGTATGAACAGTTGGTAATTTTCTTCTGAATATAAGAAAAGTACTTAAAAAAAGAATAATAATGAATCAATTTCCCTAATACTGATATGATAAAATGCATATGATAATATATCAAAATAATTGAACTAAAATAAAATTACTATCTGTTATTTATTAATTTACATATCTAAAAAATGTTTGTGGTACAATTTAGAAACTTAAGGAAAGAGTTTGTACAATTTGGACAACTTGAGGTAAAAGTTCGCAAACTTCCGTTTGCCACAAAAAATTAAACCATAGTTTCACTTCAATCTATGATACAGAATAATACTCGAAATTTAAATTTAGTATTTTCGTGTTTTTCAGAAATTTAATTAGTCCTTGTAAAATTAACGTTATTGGATAATTTATTTCAATGAATCCAATGATTTAAATGAAAAATTTATTACATTAATTAATTACAGATATAAATTATATGTGAAAATTATAACACAGAATGTTTAATTTACAAAAAGAAAAAAAAGTCGCAATCTTTGATTTTAAAATTCGCAAATATAAGGATTTGAAAAATTAGAAAAAAAATCATTTTTTATTAAAAGTTATTAATAGTTCGAAATGAAAGTTTTTCGTTAAATTAGTTAAACAATTTAATTTACTCATTTTATGATAGATTTTTTTTAGCTCCTTTCTCCCTCAATAAGAGAAAAAGTAATTTTCCAATCATACCTTAATTTTTGCAATTTGTTGAAATCAATTATAATCGATCAAAATACTTCTAGAAATCACATACCTTTTTTTTCGTTAGAGAGAGAGAGACAGGGAAGGACAGTAATGGAAAATGTAACATTTGAAATTGATAAAATTGTTTTTATTTCTGATCATCCTTCCAAAGATTCCAATTAGGGGACGATATCCTGTCGCATGATACGAGGTCAAATACTCTGCTTTGATTGAATGCTTCTAACGGTATCTGTCGGATATTTTCACCTGCATCGCAAATTATTCGTGCAAAACTGAGTTTTTTGATTTCATCAATTTGAAAACTTGTCAGAATTTCAGGATTTTCATAATAATATCTATAAAGAACGAAATTATTCAACAAAAAATTAATTGTCAATAAATTAGATAAAATATTCAAAAAAAAGAACATTATATATAAGCTATTTTTAATTAGTTGAAATTTTAATCCTGCCATGAAATTAGCAAAATAATAAAATTTGGAACTTTACTCTCTTACCTATCACCGTTTCGTAATCTTCGAAATTACTCCGAAATGATACAGGCTAGAGTAGGTCCAATAATTGTTTAAATTTTGTTTTGCAGTTTTAAGTGCAAAATTTTGAAAAATTTTTGTGTTTTTTGATTCATGAAAATTCTTTGGCTAAAACAACAGTGACTATGATAAGTACCCAAAACTAGGCTGCCAAAGAATTAACAAACTCTCTTGGCTTCTTCCTCCTAACTAAATCAATTGAGCTTGTTTCCGGTAGCATAATACTAATGAAGACCTATTAGTTATTACAACTCAATAAAATGAAACAACAAATTTTTTTGGAAAACAAACCTTCCGCAATTGTGACAACTGCGAATAGCAAGAGTAATAGCAAAATGAATTTCGTCATCATTGATCTGATATATTGGTACAATTGACCCAATCGTTATTAATCAATTAGTAAGTCGTCACTGATCTGATATATTGGTACAGTTGACCCAATCGTTTTTAA